GTCTTTCTTATTTCTTTGAATTGCTTATGTGCAACCTCTTTGAGATCATTAATCACTTTTATAATCATTTAAAAATTCTTTGATATGTTGTACATTTCTGTATCATTAAAAGTTTACATGAAGCATTAATTTTTGGATGAGCCATATGGCCTTGTTTTTTCATATTTCCTAATTTTTTATGTGGAGATTTATACAGCTATTGAGATGGAATTCTCTTACTCTTCTATTTGAGGAAATTCTTAGGAGGGTGGACTTCTCTTGGTGATGTGCCCTGAAGTACTCATCTGCTGTATAGCATTTAATTGTAAGTGGATTTTTGTGACTATTTACCCTATGGCTTCTTTGTGTATAATTAGTGCATACTGTGCTAGAGCATGAGTGATCTACTTTCTCTGCAATTCTCTCTAGTAGGATACTCTGAATAATTGAGTCAGGTGTAGTTAAAACAGTAGACTATGCATGTGTGTTCTCTGTCAGTATTTTTCTAATTTTGTCATGACAGTATGGCTTGAAAAGTTATGGATGCAACTTGTGTTAGCATCGTTTGTACAATTTTTTTTTCTCCTTGCTTTTATTATGTAGATAAAATTCCAGAAGCAAGACTTTAATCTTTCTCCAGTTATTCCTGCTTGGGGCCTTTTCCTTGGCTGGGGGCTTTTATTTTTCCTTTTATTTGGGTTGATGGTAGCCACCAAGATTGAGTGGGAGTATGTTGTGGCTGGACTAAGATGAAATTTCTCTCAATTCTGTTGAGAATATAGCTTAGTGACAAAGCACTCTCCTATTATGTTTCTAGTACCTGAGTCAATCCCCAGAACTTAATGCATGCAAATTTTGTTCCCTGGCCCCAGTCAAGGATCTGGAGTGGTAGGTATAAATTGCTCTGTTTTCTCTGCATTGCTTTTCCAAATCTCTATGGTTTTCTTTTACTTCTCTGTTGGTTCCCAGATCATACAAAAGCTTTTCCATTGTCCTATTTGTCTCTCCAACCTCATATTCCCTGATGATTTCCTTTTAGTGTAGGAATAGTATTCTATTGTCTGGATGTATCAGTTTATCCATTTTCCTACTAAGGGATGTCTTTGCTGATTGTAGGTTTTAGCAATTATGGATAAAGGTGCTATAAACATCTCCAGACAGGTTTTATGTAAATGTGTTTTCATCTCATTTGACCAAATAGCAGGACTATGATTGCTGGATCACATAGCAAGAATCTGCTAAACTATAAGTGGTCATACCACTTTCCATTTTCACCTGTCTTAGTTATTTTTCTCATTGCTGGGACAAAATACCCTGACACCCAAAGTTAAAGGAGAAAGGTTTATTTCAGGTCACAGTTAGTAGAGGTTTCAGCCCCTAGTCAGCTGGCTCCAGAGGCAAGGCAGCACAGCAGAGGGTAGTCACAGATGAGAAACAGTTCATGGTGTGGCAGGAAGAAGGTAGCAAGGAGCAGCAGCAGCAGCAGCCAGCATACCTTTCCTTTTTATCCCATCCAGGGTATCAGCCTTTTTGGTAGTGACACTCAGATATATGCTAATTCCAATCAGTGATCTCATTAAGTACCACACATCCTTAATGCCAGCATCACAGGCCCTAGATCCAGGCAACTCCAAAAAGCCTCACTTATCAGTGCATAAGCCTTTGCAGGAACATCTAAATCCAAGCCATAACATCATCAGAAATAAATAAGATTTTGTCAGTGTTTTGAATTTTTGCCATTGTAATTGGTACATTGTGCTTTTTGTTGTTTTAACTTGCAATTCTTTAAGCCTATATGGTGTTAAGTATCTTATTATATGCTTATTTGGCATATTATAATGTACATATTATTTTGTAAGGTTTTTGTTCAGATCTTTTGCCCACTTTAAACTTAAGTTATTTTCTTACTATTAAGTTTTGAAAATTCTTTCTGCATTTCGGATAACTGTCCTTTATCAGATATATCTCTTGGAGACAGTTCCTTTGAGCAGGAGGCTTCTCTTTCATATTGTGATGATTACCTATGTTTATTCTTCCCCTCTTCTTCCCTCTCTAGTTTTTCTTGCCCTCTGTCTCTTTTCTTTTCCCTCCCTGCTTCCTTCTGCCCTAATCACCCACAGTAATTAGAATAAAATTTGGATTCTTTGCCATACAAGATATAGCCCCCAGTTTCCTGGATAATTTCACCTCTCTCTCTCTATTGCTCTCATTGACAATGTGGCTATAAATAGTGGTTTCCTTCTGCTCTTTATATGAACCCAATATGACCATTCTCAGGGGGTTTCCACTTACATTATTTTTCTAGGATCTTTTTCTCTATTTGTCTCATGATGACCTCCTTTCTGTTATTTTGATCCTATATGAGATGCTTCTCCAAGATGCTTCTCTAAATCCATCACCACCAGAGGACACTCTATCACATTACCTTGCTTTTTTTTTGTTATATGGCTTCACTATAGATTATGAAAATATTTCATAATTATTATGACATTATTTGTATCTTTGCTTTCTAGCTTATTATCTTTTACTTTTATTAGAATGTTAAGTTTTCAGTGGTATAATTTCCTCTGCCTTTTTGACCATGGTATCCATATCCCAAGGTTTATAACATTGGCTGGATTTATAAATATTTTTGATCATCTGAATGTATGTTGGGTACTGAACTGTTTTTATTTTATTTTATTTTTTGGCAAATAAATAGAAAATGTATGACCCCTGATCATGGGGGAAAAAACAGATTTAAGATGTCATACCAATAATTATTTATTTCCTAATGCCTCAAGAGTATGTCAGTGTTCTATGATATCTAGGGCTTGATAAAAAGCACAGAATTAAGACTGTAATGCCAATTCACTTTATGAAAGTTACATTAACATGTTCAACTGAAATTCTGATATAAATTATCCCTTTTTGGTCAAGTTTGGGAAAGACCTATTAAAATACAAATAAGAGTGATTAAAATGTTAATCTGCATATGTAAATTATATAAACCAATGTTATTATCTACATAATAGCCTTCACACATGTTTTAAGTAGTGGAACATTTTTTTGAAGCCAAAGGTTCACTCAGAAGTGGATTATACATATAGACGAGAGTGGCTGATGTTCTGGCTGAAGGGGTGGTGGTAGAACTTGTGTTCCTTACCCACCAGGCACCTCTCCTGATTCCTGTCTCTCAAGGTAGTATATATAAGGCCACCTTTGGCATCCAGAACTCTACAGAGCAAGGTTTTCAGATCATAAATCACAGACTGATTCCTTCATTTGGGAAACAGAAACCCAGAGAGCTGATCTGACTTGCCCGAAGTCCTAAAATCGCTGGCAGCAACAGAACTAAATTCCAGCTCCTTGAAATCTAGTATAGTTGTTTTCACCTGTGTTATCTTATAATCCTGGGCTCTGACTGCTGTAGAATCAGTTTGGAGAATAGCAGTGAGAGTTCCTAACTGGGAAAGAAAAGTCAGACATTTTCTAAGCAGGGTCCTTGCTTAGAATTTTGCTTCTCCTGATTGTACCGACCTCTATTCTCATTTGGAAACCATCTTGAGCCTTTCTCTAGTAATAAAAATAAGGAAAGGAGACTGCTTTCTCCATGTATTTATTTAACAACTATTTTATTACTCTAAATTTTAAAGCATTTGAGAAAAGAAGTTTTACCTATAGGCATTATAGATTCTACTGGGGAAGAATTGCCTAGCTCTGTCTGGAAGTACAGGATCTTTCCCTGACTATTCTTGGTTTCATTTTTTAGTGGAAGTTTAGATTAAATATATCTTACCTGGCACAACTGCTAGATCTATATCAGCCATAGTGCTGATCATCTTCTTAGTGTAAAATGGAGTTAGAGGAACTCAGCACCTATTATCCTAGCACACACTCAATAGATCTTTTAAAATTATTATTATTTTTAATTGTAGATCATTACATATTTTTATTCTTTTAAAAAATTTTATTGGTACCTTTTAGGTATACAATATAATGACATTCATCATTGGAGATTGTACCTTTACATAATATATCTTGGTTCTTATTTTTCCCCCTTCCCCTGCCCTCGCTTCAACCTCTCTACTTCTCTCTATTTACAAAGACTTTGCATCCATTTTTTCATTTTCTCATGTTAATTGCATTCCTTTCTTTTCTTTCCCCTCTTCCACTTCCTCTTCCCCTTTAAACCATTTCTTTCTATTTCACAATATCGATTATACATTTTGATCCTTATTTATACTTTTAGTTTCTCACACCAGAGAAGCTATTTGGTATTTATACACATCTTATTTATTTCACTTAAGAGTATGGCCTCAATGTTCATCCATTTAGCTATAAATATTTCTAATTTTTTATTCCTTATGGCTGAGTAGTACTCCATTTTATAAAAAAAAACCCCATATTTTTTGTTTATTTTTGGTACCAGGGATTGAACTCAGGCCCTTGCACTTGTGAGGCAGGTGGCAGAACCACTGAGCTAAATTCCAAGGTACCACATCTTTTTTGTCCAGACTCCAGTTGATGGGCAACTGGGTTGTTTCCAAGTTTTAGCTATTACAAACTGCCACTATGAACATGGGTGCACATATATCTTTATGGTATGATTCTTTTAATTCTTTTGGGAAGATACCCAGCAGGGGAAAGCTGGGTCAAATGGGACCTCTAATCCTAGTTCTTTGAGGTATCTCCATAAAACAAGTGCATCTCTTATTAAAAAGCTTCTGCACAGCAAGAGTAATCACCAACAGGGTGAAGAGGCAACCCACAATGTGTGAAAAAATTTTTACCTGCTGTTCCTCAGACAAAGATCTACTGTCTAGAATATATAAAAAACTTAAAAAAATCAAACTTCCCAGTTTAAAGAGACAATCCAAAAAACAGGCATCTGAAATTAACAGACATTTCTCAGACAAAGAAGTAGAAATAGGAAATAAACATGAAAAAATGTTCAACATCATTGGTCATTCAAGAGATGCAAATGAAAACAACACTTCAGATTCCACCTCACCCCAGAAAGAATGGCTGCTATCATGAAATCAAGCAATGACAAATGCTGGTGGGGCTGTGGGGGGAAAAAGGAATACTTCTCTGTTGGTGAGAATGTAGTCTAGTGCAATCATTGAGGAGATATTTTTTAATTAAATGAATGATTTTCAGTGATATGTGCAAACTAGCAAATATAGTTTAAGAATATATTGATTTGATTTCTAATAATATATTGAGGTGGATGGACTTCATTTGAGCCATATGCAATTGTTATATCCCAAGCATCAATAATACCCACATTGAGATCCTGGAAAATGTCCTTTATAACAAGATTTTGAATGTGACCATGAAAGTCACTCAATCTTTCCACATCACTGTGCATCTCCCTGGTGTTTTCTGTCTTGATGATAACCATAGTGTCTGGGCTTCTCAGAAGAAGGCGCTGAACAGCTCTGTGGACATTGAGGACCCTTCGTATGAAGACATCAAGGGGAAAGGGTCTGAAATGCTGGCCCAGAGAAATTACAACAATGGTATTTTTATCTCCTCCAATTCTGTCAATGATCCGGGCAATGTACTCAATCCCTTTGACTGAATATTCCATTGAGCCAACCAAGGGGTAACTGTGTTTTTGCCATTGGATGTTAATATTCCTATCCAAATCCACAGCAAGTTGGTGTTTCAGTTTTCCAGATCCATGTAGATCTACTGACTTCAGTGCTGATGACAAATTGGCAGTCCCAAAATGAAAGGAGAGTAATGTTACAAAGATTAATTAGTCTTAAATGTAGGAGAGATTGTTTTTTAGAATTAAATAGGTTAATCATATCTGATTTATGATAGGCTTAGCTGAAGGAATAATTTGGAAAATTATTTGAAAAATTTAAATTGCTATACAAATGTAAGAGATTTATGTATGCCTTCTTACATCAGACTGACTAGAAATATTAAGACATTGTGATAAATTCATTGGAGGATGATTTGATCAGTTTTGTAAGTATTTTTATAGACCTTGTTAACTTTAAACTATGATCATTTGAGAACAGTTCTGCTTGATTTTATTTACATTAAAAGAAAAATGTAGGGCTGGAGATATAGCTCAGTGGTACAGCCCTTGCTTAACATGTGTGAGGCCCTAGCTATAATTGCTGCTACCACACACAATAAATGAATGAATAAGTGAATGAATGAATAAAATAACATAAAGAAAATAAGTGAATCTAATTCCTTGACCACTTTGCAAATTCTTCTATTCTTTTGTGTTTTCTTCCATGTGCATGCAATGGTACTGAGTATGTTTTATGATATAATAAGAGTATTACCACTCATTTGTTAAGTACTTTACAGTTTATAAACCATTTCTTTGAACTGATAATTTACCTCAAAGATGCTTTTGTATTTTTAAAAGTTCCATGTTATATAAAAGAGAGAAAAAAATCACCTGTTGAAGATTACAGTTTGTGATGAAATCAGCAATTAAGATTGAAGTCACCCCCAAGTCTTGTGAACATGGTCTACCTAATCTTGACACATTTGAAAATAATCTCATATATACAGAATAAGATGAAGCTCTTTAATTTTTTGTCATTTTAATTATATCCATATCCAAATTATTTCTAGCTAGAACTTCTGAGGAAAATGTATAATCAATGATTATTAATGCTTTATAACATGTATCATCTTCAAAATAAAGCACTAAATTTGAAGTCTTATGCCGGTGAGGTTGGAACATAGTGATGCTGGAGGATTATTTGGAGGCAAATGGAAGAACTATTTTCTTCACTCTGCCTCCAATTTACTTTAGTTTTCTTCTCCAAAGCACACTCTGACCATAGAGTTTAACTTCTTTTTGGGGGGTGGTTACTGGGGGTTGAACTCAGGACCTTGTGCTTGCCAGGAAGGGCAGTGCCACAGAGATAAATCCCCAGCCCAAATTTAAATTTTAACAAAATGCACAAAAGACATGTTCCTACCTCAGCTTACAAGAGAAACTGAAGAGGACAGGTAACTCAATAGATCAGCAATAAGAGACTCACCACTACAGAATGTCATGCTGAAGGGTATCCCTAGACCATTCATTTTGTAGCTGAGCAAATTGAGGTCCAAAAGAGTTAAATGACCTTTCTAGAGGTCACAACCTAAAACTCTCCCCAGTTGAGAATTCTTGTAATTTGCAGCCCAATCCCTACTTTCCCCCTGATTTTCCTATTTTTATTGAGAGGATGAGCTTTTATTCTGAGTTAGAGGTCACAAAAGTAGCCTGGTATAGAAAGGCCAAGATGGAGTCACAGCCTCTGTATTATTCCTAGTCATAGTAGCTGGGGCTCAGAGACATAGAGCGTTGCTAAATCTATTAATTGTTTCTGAGTTGTTACTGTTGAACTCTTGGTTTAGTAAATAGGGCAAGTTGACTAAGATTCTCACAACTGAATTCTACCCCTAACGCTGACACTTATGAAAATCAGTGCTATTGCTTTTTGGGCATTTTCTAAGTGCCAGTGTGCCTTAAAATGTGTTAAATTCTTTATATCCATTACCTATTTCATCTTCAAAATCAACAGCGCATATGTTACTATTTTTAGTTGATGAATGAGGAAATTGAGTAGAGAAAATAAGATGCCCAAGGTTATTTTTTCTAAGTGGCACAGAATAGGTCTGTTAGACTCTAAATTCTGTGCTTTTATCCATTGTGCCTGCCAGATGCAAAATCTGTCCTATTATCAGGTATTGATAATAGTGGTGATTGTGCTTGCTTCAGCAGCACATATACTAAAATTGGAACAATAATAGTGATGATAGTTTACACCAAGGAGAACTTATTTTGTAGCAGACAGTATTCTAAATACACCATATATATCATCTCATTTTAGCAGGTGAGTATTCTTTTATCTTCATTTAGTAGAGGAGGAAACCATGGAATGAAATGGTTTTGAACCCAGGTCACTAAATCTAGAATCTGTAAATAAAGTAATCATTGTACCAACTGTAGAAGAGGGGAAATTCAGTATTTTAAATCATCTTTAGCTCCATCGATAATTTTCTGAGACTGTTGTGTAAATATTGAAGCATAAATTTTGCAGGGAAAGGGAGGTAATGCTTTTCTACACTGGTTCCCTTCTAGTCAGATAAATGTGTCTTTTTAAAAAGAAATATTATGTCTTGTGAACATTTTTGGTGTTTCATGATAAGTAGTACGATAAATCTGAAGTGAAAAAGAAGTTTCTGAAGGGGATATATATGAAGAATAGCTAAGAATGAGGCGTACTGTTGAGACTGGCTTTGAAGTATTCCATCCACTGGCGAATCGTGGAATCTCCCATTAGATATATGAGTTTTCCTCTCAGGCAGTCTTTCATGCTGACTGGAGTCAAACTGCAGGAGACAGGATACCATGTGTATTTCCAGGCATGTCCACTGGGGATTGTGGGTAACATTCCAGGCTTGCATTTCTCTTTCACTGGGACTGTTTCTGTTGCCAAAAAAATCAGCAAGATATGATCTTCTAAAACATCAAATTATCCATCAGTATTTATTGAGAGACATCTGTCTTCCCTAAAGTATCCTCTTAATAGGGAGCAAAAGTGTTGGAGGTGGAAGAAAAGCCATATCAAAGCATCTTCATAATGAAACAGCTAGTTTTCAGTAAAATTTTTCTGTGATGTTAGTTTCTTAGCTGATACCCATTAACGGTCATTATAAGAGCACATGTTTTTCCCAGAAAAAAATGGCCTCATGGAAAAATTTAAGTATTTTTCAGCATTGCTTTAAAAGCAACATCATCAATTCTCACAAAGTAAATGAAAGATTATTCATTCTATCATTTTAGCCCAGTTTGTCCCTGAGTTTGTCACACACTATCACAGTGTCTTAAATGCCACTATCAAACTATGCATTTTTTGAGTAAAAGGCAGGGTGGTATAATATAGATTGCTTGGAAACTGGCCAATATGTGTGTAGGTCTGAGGTCAGGTATTAAACCTTAATTCACTGGCTTATGAGGAGCTGAGGTGCTAAGATGTGATAGGTTTGAGGCAGTGATTATTCATCACCCACAGAAAGTAGTTTAGTATTTCAACAATTGGGATGAGTTTACCCATTTATCTGTCATAAAAATACTATTTCTACATTCCAGTGCATATATTTTAATGAGGACAAGTATGTTAATAATTAGCAAGACTTTAATGCTGAACTGATATAGATATAAAAGCAGTTTCCTTAAATCATTTTAGATGGGACTTCCCTAAGCTCTTTAAAGTCAAGTAATAAAAAATAACAGTAAATATGAATGTAGAAGTTCTACATTGCATGTTAAAGTTGAAATGTGACAGACTCAGGGTGTCGGAACCCTATGTAATTCTTGGGATAGAAGGGATATAGGAGGTAGTGATAGTGTCAGTGTGTGCAGGTAAAGAACTGGGACAGTGTTTTAACACTCATAGGTTGTTGTATAGGATGAGCAGGTAATCAGTTACCTGCTAAGTAGACTGGTGATGAGAGATATAGTTTTAGTGATTTGAATCATTCACTTCCTTAGGTACTTGGTACATTGACTGACCTTGGACACAATAGATGAACAGAGTCCTGGTAGACCTGAAAAATGAAAACACCCAGCAGGAAGAGGAAGGCTAGGAATAAGCACCCAGCAAACACAGAGCACTTACTGTTGCATTTTGTGACATGAATGACACTGGAGTTTTCCATAATCTCCACACCCACATTTGACCTTAGAGAGACAATATAGAAATTAATATGCAGGTGGCCCCAAATCAGTAAACAAGACAGATTATTCAATGCTTCTGCTGTTTCCTGTTAAGCTGGTTGCTGGGTCCACATATTAATGTCATTTAATAGATTTCCATTTCCTTACCTATTATTTCATAGGATACAGTTACTTAGATGGTGTTCAAGGTGATTTATTGAGATGCAGATATCATATGTTAGAGCACACATATATAAATTCTGCCAAAAAAGTATACACACTTCTGCAGTTTGCTACTAATAAATGTCTGGAAGCTAATGGCCACCACTTTGAGCACCTCTTGTAATTGTAGAGGCCAAAGGTAATGTATTAATTTTATGATGTCTCAATAAATTTAGTGTTAAAATATTTATACATAGTTTTCTTTTCTTGATATATATACATTTTTTGGGCAGAATCTGTATTTCTTAGTCATTTTCAGTTTTCATTGGCCCCTATTTTTTATTTCATTAGTGAGAATGAAATATCCAAAACATTTGGGGACTTTTGGAGGCTGAGCTCTGTCTCCAAATGAATTCACAGTTCCTTTCTCAAATGACTCTACATACAGAGTATCAAAGATATAATTACAAGACTTTTCTGTAGATTGTCATATAAGGCAAAAACATAGTCATCAGCAATAATTATTTACCTTTCAAAGAGGGTCCATTCTTGTTGGCTAAGATAGGAAATGTTCTTGTTCATGGAACGCATGTGGGTAAGTGCAGCACAGGAAACATGTGGAGGCCTCACACAGTAGAAAGCTTCTTGGTCTTCAGCATCCAGATATCTGCACAATTCAGCACTTGAGTTTAAAACCAGGGCACAATCAGTATTGACCTGGGAGTTGCCATTGACAAACTGGCCCGTGAAGATCACCCTGTCATAACCTTGGTTCCTTGCCCTCCAGAGAGCTGATGCCCCTTCACTGGGGTGCACGAGCAGGACAGACAGGGAGACCTGGCCCTCCCAGAATAGAGTGAAGCTGACAAGATAGGTGCCATTGTTGAAATCTGTCACTTTCCCTGATGCACCTGCTTTCAGATCTGTGGAGTACATCCTGGCCCTCAGGAAGTCCCCACCATATTCTTTCCTATGTCCCAGGTGGTCTTTCACTTCCAACAGGATATCCAGCTGGTCCCCCTGGCAGTACTTATCTCGAGGATTGAGGATGGTAGCTTTGCTCTGTGTGGCACTGGTAGTAGCGATTTTGTGGGTGAAGGGTCTGGGTGGGATCAGCTGGTCCAGTTTCTCCAGGACCTTCCTGATTTCCAGGTCAGTCTCTGCTGCAGAAAGTACTGGACACTGTGGTGCTTTAGTGCACAAGGGCTTCCCAATGAAGTTACAGTGAGGGAGGGGGTCAGTCCACTTGAGTGCAGCCCATATCTGAAATGACAAGAAACAGAATAAAGAACATATCAAATATTCCTTTAATGTGGCAGTTGTTTGGTTAGCCAAATTTTGTCTTTTATAAAGCAGTGATAGTTACAGAAATTAAATGACACTGAGATTTTATGATTATATATGTTTCATATGCGAAATACTTTGTTTATAGATTCTATTAATGTTAGTCCAGTTTTCATTGGCTAATTTATTTTGGAAGACCTATTTATCCCCAATGGGCCCTGAACCCTAGCATCATCTTCTGAAAATTGGTAATTAAATCTACCTTAAAAGCAATTGTGAAGACCAAATTAGAAAATGTTTTTAATTTCATAGTAGAAAATTATTGCTATTGTTTTTATTTTTATCTTAAAATTAAAATTTAGTAAAAAACTCAATTTTAGACAAAATCTGAGCAGTTCAGAAATGCTAAGTATCATTTTTCAAGCAAAGAAAAAGATACTAATTAGTAACACAAAAAATAGGGAGCATTAATTCACTGGTAAATGTAAGTGCACAGTCAAAATCACAATATTCTAATTCTGTAATGATGGTAGATAAATCACTTGTATCTTTTGCATAAAGGTTAAAACAAGCATTAAAATAATTGCTATAATAGTTTTTAAATGTTAAACTACTTCAAAGATGTAACTTCAGAAATTCAAAATATGGTATCAGGATGGAGTAAAAGTATGAAGATTTTTATGGACCTGAGTTCAATTCCCAGTACCAGAAAACAAACAAACAAAAGCATGAAGATTTTCATGTGATCAAACTTTAGTTATCAGCTTACAATAGGGTTTCATAACTATAAGATTCCTTTATATAACTTATGGTAATCATAGAGAAAACATCTATAGTATTTTCTTAAAGGATAAAAGTAAGGAATCAAAACATACACCCAGAGAAAATAATTTGTTTACAAAGGAAAAAAAGCAAGAAAGCAAGCATAGAAGGAAGGGATAAATAACCTACAAAACAACTGGAAAACAATATAATGGCAGTAGTAAGTCCTTTCTTATCAATAACTGCCTTGAATATAATGCATTCACCAATTAAAAGACAGAGCAATTGAACTGAAGAAAGAATATACCAAGACCCAACTATATACTGCCAACAAGAGATTTACTTTATCTATAAGAACACACCTAAAGTAAAAGAGAAAGGATGGAAAAAGATACTTCATGCAAATAGAAATAGAAATGAAAAGAGAACGTGAGTTGCTATACTTATATCAGATAAACTAGACTTTAAATCAAAAACTATAAAGCCAGAAAAGGTTATTATTTAATGATAAAAGATTCAATTCTTCATCAAGAGGAATATGTGTGTGTGTGTATATATATATAATTCTAGACATAATCTGTAACATTGAAGCACCTCAATATATAAAACAAATACTAATAGAAGTGAAGAGAGGAGTAGATTGTAATACAGTAGTAGCAGATGATACAGTGCCCTATTTTCAGCAGTGGACAGATCATTCAGACAGAAAATCAAGAAACATAATTAAACTACACTTCACTGTGTTGGGGATGTAGCTAAAGGGGTAGAGCAATTGCCTAATGTTCTCAAGACCCTGAGCTCAATTCCCCAATATTGTAAAATGCAAAACAAGACAAGACAAAACAAAACAAAACAAAAAACCAAACACAAAAACTACTCTTGAGACCAAATGGACTTATGTAACAGACATCCACATAGAACATTCCCTTTAATGTTCTCCATGCTAAGTGATATGGTAGATTACAAACAAGTCTTTTTTTTTTTTGTACTGAAGATTGAACTCAGGACTTGAGCTTCTGTGGCAGGTAGTGGAACCACTGAACTAAATCCCTGGCCCTAAAAATAAGTATTAACAAATTAAAGTCACATCAGGTATCTTTTCCAACCACAAAGTTATGAAACTAGATATCAATAATCGGAAAAATTTCAGAAACTTTACAAATACATGCAAATGAACATCCTCCTGAAAAACCAATGGGACAAAGAAGAAATTAACAAAACATATCGAATCTGTGTAGGAGTGGTGCACATCCTATTACCTAAAGACTGAGCGTGGAGGGTTGACAGTTCAAGGCCAGTCTGGGCAATATAAAAAGACCTTGCCAATAAAAAAAAAGATAAACAACAGAGACAGACAGACAGAGACAGAGTAAAATGAAAATGGATGCATAAAATACCAAATCTATGGGATGCAGCAAAAATAGTGCTAAGAAGGAAATCTATAGCAGTAAGCACCTAAATAAAAAAAAAAAGAAGAAAGATCTCAAATAACCAAACTAATGTCACTTTAAGGAACTAGAGAAATAAGAACTAGCTAAGCCTAAAGTTAGTAGGAGAAAAATAAAGAGTATAGCAGTTGAAATAAGTTGAGACTGAGAAAATAATAAAAATAATCATTGGAATTGTGTTTGTTTTTGAAAATATAAACTGAAAAACCTTTAGCTAAACGAAGAGAAAAAAGATAAATAAGTGAAATCAGAAACAAAAAAAAAATATAACAGGAAAAGGAGATATTACAACTGATATCATAACAGTCTACTATGAACAATATATGCCAGCAAGTTGGATAACCTAGAAGAAATGGATACATTTCTAGACTCATGCAACCTACCAAGACTGCATCATGAAGGGAAAGTCAGTAAGAAACTTGACTGGTCATAAATCCTCCCATCAAATAATCCAGGAGTCAATGGCTTTACTTCTGAATTCTACCAAACATTTAAAGTACCAGTCCATCTTAAACTATTCAAAAAAGTTGAATAGGAGAGAATATATACTCAATGGTGAAAAGCTGAAACTTTTTCCTGGAACATCAGATAACATAAAAGGATGCTTGTTTTTACTACTTCTGATCAACACAATACTGGAAGTTCTACTCAGGCTAATTAGCCAGGAGAAATAAAGAAAAGGCATTCCAATTTGAATGGAGAAAGTTAAATTGGCCCTATCTGAAAATGACACAATCTTATATAGAGGGAACCCTAAAGATTCCATCAAAATTAATAAGCAAATTCAAGTTATAGTAGTATATATGAGCAATACACAAAAATCAGTAGCATTTTTATTTTTTATTTTATTTTATTATATATATTTTTTGGTTCCAGGGATCAAACTCGGGTCCTTGCACTTGCGAGGCAGGCATTGGAACCACTAAGCTAAATCCCTAGCCCTCAGTATCATTTTCATACATTAACAACAAACTATCTGAAAAACAAGACGAGAAAACAATCTCTTTTACAAAAGCTATCAAAAAATTAAATACTAGGAATAAATTTAACCAAGGAGATAAAGACCTGAACCCTGAACACTTACTATAAAATGTTGATGAAGGAAATTGTGCAAGATACAAATAAGTGGAAAGATACTCCACATTCATGGGTTAGAAGAATTAATATTGTTAAATTGTCTGTACTACCCAAGCAATCTGCAGATTTGAAGCAATTCCCATTAAATTACCAATGATATTTTCATGGAAATAAAACAACCAATCTTAAAATGCATAAGAAATTACAAAAGATCCTGAATTCTGGGACAAAAAGAACAAAGCTGGAGATTATGCTATTTGACTTTAAAAGTCTAGTAATCTATATAAAAGTCTACTAATCAAAACACCCTAGTACTGACATAAAACAGGACATATAACCAATGGAATAGAGAGCCGAGAAACAAATCCTTTATTTATGGTCCCTTGACATTATACCAAAACACAAAATGAAAAAAAGGATAATCTCTTTAATAAGTAGCATTGAGACAATTGTGCATTTACATGCAGAAGAATAATTGAACCTGACATCAAATGTTATAAAATCAACCCAAAATGGATGAATGGCTTAGATGTAAGAACTGAAACTATAAAACTCCTAAAAGAAACATAGGAGACAAGCTGTATGATATTTGTCTGGGCAATGAGTTGAAGACGTAAACACAAAAATTTGGTCACAGAAGAAATAAGTTAGCTAAAATAAATGTTTCAAGAGATATATTGTCTAACCCGGTGGCTGTAGCTAATAACAATGTATTGTATTCTGGAAAATTGCTTGAAGAGTAGATTTTAAGAATTCTTAGGAGAAAAAAACAAAATAAAGAATAGATGAGATAGTGTGTATATTAATTACCTTAATTTAATTATTCCACAATCCATACATATTTCAAAATATGTTGTACTATATACAACAAAATTTCCATGTATCAATTAAAAATAAGTTTTAAAGGGTCAGGGATTTAGCTTAGTGGCACCACACCTTCCTTGCACATGCAAGGTCCTAGGTTTAATCCATGGTACAAAACAAAAGTTTTAAAATAATAAAAACAGGTCTGGGGATGTAGCTCAGTGGTGTTGTGCCTGTCTTGCAATTGCAAGGTCCTGAGTTTGATCCCCAGTACTGCAAACAAACAAACAAATAAATACATCAAACGTGTGGGGCTTTTATGTAAAGTACAATTACCTATTTTTTATTTCATCTTTTATAATTGCTTGAATATTCATTCTGTCATTTTTAAAGTATTTTCTCAGATTTTTACTAATATACTATAGGTTTATAAAAATGTTTATTTTCTAATTATAACACTGATTTATTATTAAAAGTTAGAGACTGCTGAAAGTACTTGAGAAATAAAATTGGCCACAATCATATCAACCATTGACCTCCAACTCAGGGTGATCTTTGTACCTCAGCTTCTGAAATTTGTGGATTACAGGTGTGCACCACCACTCTGGGTTTAACAGATGTATTTTTAAAAAAGCAACACTCTTAAAAGTAGCGGAGAGTGAGCACAAGCAGTCAGGAATGGAGAGGGGTCAATACTTGAAAGAAAGCAAAAGACTGTAAGAAGTGCTAAAAGAAATTCTTTAGTCTGAAGAGAAATTATACTAGATGGGAGCCAGATTTTCAGGAAGGAATGAGAAACATGGGAGGTGGGAAATACAAGGATAAATACAAAAGACAGAATATTTTTTCAAGTTCTTTAAAGTGCATATAATTATTTAAAGTAAAAACTGTAAATTTGTAATAATATGACAGGTATACCATAGAGAATAGAGTGAGGTATACGTGAAAGTAAATAGAGTAATAGGTATTGAAAGGTTTTTGCACATTAAATGAAGTGGCATTTTAGTAATTGTAAAAGCCAAGCATACATGATATAACAATGCCTAGAGAAACTATTTAAAACAAGGTAGAAACTAAAAGGAAATTCTAAAAAAAAAAAAAAATTTTCAGTTAACTCAAAGTGCAGCAGGAAGGAAAAACAGGAACTGACAATAAAAGGACCAAGCAGAAAATAAATAGCAAAGAGGCAGATCTAAAATCACTCATAGTAATAATTCCATTAAAAGTAAATAGACTAAATATCCCATTAATAGGAAGAGATAAATAAAAAAGCAAGATCCAACTATTTACTCTCTGCAAGGAATACACCTTAAATATAAAGATGACTATAGGTTGAAAGTGGATAGAAAGCAATATACCAATAAGTATAAAAAGCTAATATTATTAGATTAGTCTATGGAACAGAGAATAGTACTGGAAATAAATATGGACATTTTATGGTGATGAGATAATTTTTCAGAAAAAAATACAGCAAAAGTTGATGTTAAAGGGAAAACTAGAAAAATCCACATTCATGATTGAAAGTGTAATAGTCTTTCTCAGTAGTTGCTAAGGAACTCTGAAAAAAATGACAAAAGATCCAGAGATTTCAACATTATTTTAGTTATGTATTGTCACCATTGTGTCACATTATCAGATATTTTTATACTGTTAAAATTTCAAATGAAAATAAGTGATTTTTAGAATGGTAGGTTAATTTCCTGGGCACAAAAATTTAGGGTAAAAATGTAACAAGAAAATTGTGATTTGAGGTGGAGACTAAGCACATATTGCAGCCCCAACTTCTGACTATAAAATCATGTAAAAGACAGAAAAGAACTTTACAGCTCTATCATCTGTGATGTAGAAAGAGACACCTTAACAGAACCAGAACCTATGGGGTATCTCCTGAAAAATTAAAGACGGGTAAGATTAAATAGAGGAAAAAAAAAACAGAGTTCCAAATACAAAGAAGATGTAGGATACAGAGGCTGCTAAAAATTTGTATACATTTCAGGAAAAGAAAAATAGTGTGATGGTGTTTTTTACAGATTGTGTTACCCTTGTATGTGGGACCCTAGAGGATGTTGTTTATCACAGAAAAGAAATGGAAAATGCATGTGCTGCAATTTTAATGACCAAGGTTACCCAAGCAGCAGCTCACTGTACTGAGAAATGTCTGGAAGCTCATGGACACCACTTTTGTAATTGTAAAGGTCAAAAATAACTTGTATTAATCTCATGATATCTCAATAAATTTACTATTAAAATATTTATCCAAGTTTTTCTTTTCCTAAAGTGTGTATACATTTTTTTTTGGAAGACTGTGTATTTAGGATGGAAATCCAATGGTACCTATCAACTGCTTTTTCAGCTGAAGCTGGAAATCCAGAAGATCATGTGAAATCAGAATTTTTAATATTTGAAAAAATCTAGAGCAAAAAAAACCCATAATTAAGGTGCAAATATGCAACCTCTGTGTGGGGGTTGAAAGGCTGTGCTGCTGTAGAACTCATGATTAGCTACTGAACAAAATAAAGCACCTATATTAAAAGATTAAATATCAAAAGCAACATTTTAAAATTTTAGTAGAGTATTTAGGCAAATCTAATGTTGGAAACGTTTCTAATGAAGGAAATGTTTTCCTTCAAAAAACACTACTTTTGGAAAGACAGATAAAGTTGACTACATAAAATGGAAATATTTATTTTTCAGAAAGTCCCTTAGTACATGCTTAACAGATATCAACTATCTTAGTATTTAAATAGTGTGTAAACTTCTAAAACTACTATGATCCATAGGTTTCAGTTTGGACTTTCCCAGAATAGAATGAAGAATAAGTAGAAATTTACTTTTGTAAAACAAAGAAAATAAGCAATTCCTACCTCTGAGGAGTTGTGGAAAACTGTAAAACTGATCCAGAAGGCTAATATAAGCAACAGTGCCAACAGGGACTTATGATTTGTCATAGTTGTTTTCATAATTCAGACCCTATAAGAGGCAATACAAAATGCACAATCTTAAAGCACAGCAAAACAGAAAGAAAAACATGGGAACACAAATTTTTATGCCTTCTGATTACTTTTATCTTCAGATAAATTACTCTCAGAACTCAGCTTTGGCCCTCTCAGCTGCCCTTGATGTCCCCCAGCTGCTGTCTTTGGCTCGGCTCGTACACTGCACAGAAGAGAAACTCTGGAGCTCACCACAGATTCCACAAACCCAAAACAGGAAGCAGGCGCCGTTGCTTATATGTCATTGATGTCTGTCTCTAGGCTGTGTGTCACCTCACACATTCCCCTCCCTCCCTTAAATTCAAAGAGCAGTGCCTGCTTTGGCAGCACATATACTAAAAATATTGAATGCAAAGAGCAGACAAAATACTTCAGCAAATACTGACACTGAGACACTTCATTATAGTGCCTTTCTAATATAAACTGATTTTACAGCTTCCTTAAACCTTGTCTATAAATGTTTCACTTTCTTGTATTACTAACCTTTCCAGAACTCTTCAACCTTGAAAAATTATTTTAAAACTCATTTATACCTTTATTTTAAATATTTTTCAGGTTTTATCAGTGTTTTGTCTTTAATTCATATTAACATTTGTCTTTGATTTAGAATTTCAAATTGTCTTTTCAAATTGCTTGGGCCAAGTATGTAGTTCAGTGGTAGATCACCAGTCTAGCTTGTGCAAGTCTCTGAGTTCAACCACTGGATCACAAAATAACATAGAGTAAGGTAAAATAAAGTACGATTCATTTAATGCTGCCCTTTAAAAATTTTCCATCTCTTGAAATATACTCCCTGCCCCAGACTCCCATTTTATATACAGACATTAGAGATTTCAGCACTCAAGAATAAGTATTACAACTTTCCCTTACCCATTCCATTTTGTAAATATTTTCATACCTTTAGCATAAAGAGAAGTCTCAAGGTATTTAATCTCATACCTAGAAACTTCAGTAAGCTTGGTGTGAAGGCTTTCATCTGAAGCCACTAATGCTATTGGGGTATTTCCTGTCTGTATCAAAACAAATCACAGGTATAAGTTGCAATCTCAATAGCTTGGATTTGCAGCTTCTGTGTGTTTCAGCTCAGAAGAGTCAGGCATGCTAGCTCTACCTTAAGGGAGGACCTGAATCACAAACTACAATTTTGAGGTCAAACAGATGGAGAAAGAGGAATGAAACAATCTATCTGGTAGACAAAATGATTTTTTTTGTCAGAAGCCTTAAGGAATCTAATTTTAGTAAACATATGATAATTATATGACAAGAAAAAAGAAAAGAAGGCCAAAACTTTAAATAATTGAAAGTAGTCACCTGTGAGGAGTTGAACTTCCTAGTTTCCATCTGAGCCCTGACATCAAAACCCAAATGCCAGGACTCAAGCACGTATTATCTCGTGTATAGTACATACTCAATAAAATTTGCTGAATCGAACCAAAGGAAACTCAAATAAAATGAAGACAAGAAAATAATATTGACTACCTCTCAGATGTAGAGAATGATATCTTACATTCACAGGTTTTAGTCCATCTTGGATTTGTACTCTTGATCTGATGATGAAAACAGTGCCAGAAAAAGCAGGTGCCCACAGGAAGTATCAGTGGGTTAACTTGTAGTTCCTTCCATGATTTCGTGGGTCTCACACTGTCCCATACACGAGGTTAAAGGTAAAGGTCCTTCAATTCTTCCGGTCTTTTTTTGTAAGCAAGAATCAGGACCCATTTCAAAAAAATTTTACAGATTTTAATCCTTCCAACATCCTTTACCATGGTCTGACAAATTAGCCATAGCTATGCTTCTTTATGATTTTACATGGAGACAGTTTATAAATCTGTGTAGACTGGATCTAGAATTGCTCATTTCTGCTCTAAGGAACCTATAATAGGAGGAAATGTTTGCTGTGGGTTTGGTTTGGCTGCGCTTTAGGAGACTGATGCCAGCAACCAACCCAGTTTACAGCCTACTCCAAGACAAATAGATTTATGGATTTTAATTTTCTTCAGTTATACAGATATTGGTATTTAATATGAACCTGTCAATTTTTTATAAGAGGCATACTTATTGTGCTCGATTTAAAGAACTGAAAATGCAGAAGGCAGTTTCAATACTTTTCCCAAATTATCTTGTGAAATTTAAAACAGGGCAAAGTGCAGGATTCCTGTCATTTTGACCTCTGATTCAAAGTACTTTCCACTACTCAGCATGACTTCAACTTTTGTGATATAACCAAATTCGGGTGGATCCTGTGGCTCATGTATTTGTTGACATTATTCTTAGAAGAAAGGACTATTTTTATTTTTTACCATGTTTTTCTTCAAAAGGTTCAAAAGGCTAGTGTGAGCAAGATATATGGTCTTCTATAGTGCACTATCCTTGCAGTTAATGTATGTTTCATCATCATCTTCAGTTAGAGTAGTTTCCTTTCCCCTAAATTTATCTCAAAGAGGGGTTTGCAATGGGAGTTTAGTCACAGATAGGACCATGGAGCTCTGAGTTTACATAATTAAACACAATCCAGGAGATTAACATTTCTTTGGGAATGAGTAGAGTAAGAGTAGTGCTGGTCAGATTCTAAAAGAGCATAAGCAAAACAAGCAGACTTCATTCGGCATTTGGCAAATCAATGAACAGGTGTTCAGAGAACAGTCCCTGGAGTCCAAGTCATAGGGAGATGGCGCCTGCAATTTCAGAAAACAAACAAACTCTGTCACCAAGGCCACACTATAAGGTAATCTTATTTCCATGTGATTTAAGAATAGGAACTGTCCTTACCCCAGAAGAGTGAAATATAAAGACTAGATAAGTTTCAACATCAAGAATGACTCAGGAGTGCAGCAGTGAGAACTTGGCATAGGACTCATTAATTAATGATGAGGAGCACAGGCTGTCACAACTCAATCTTTGTTTTCCCAATAGAAGAGGCCAAAAGAGCAGTTCTGTGTCAGGCACCTGGATAGATAGCGCACCATGGCCTCAGACTTGCCTGCCATGGAGAGGGTCAAGGACTCTGTGCCTTTTCTAAGTTATGCAGTGGGAAATGGACTGCTGTGCCCGTGGGTCTCTCTGACAGAGCCAGTGAAAAACACTATAGATACATCACTTGTTATTCTACCACCTGAAAACAGAGATGAACATCTATCTGTTTGCTAACTTTGTGGCGTGGAAACCTGTTCAGAGGCTGGCCTGAGAAGCCTGCTGAATAGGGGTGCTTATTTTTGGTTCTGACAGGTGGGCAGTCAGATCTTCTACTTGTTGCAAGCTGAAAGAGATGAATGTGTGTAGAGAAGAAAGCAGTTGGTTGTGGTTGTGGGCTACACAGACTGGAAAGAAGCAACTACTATTTATTGAGGACTTACTCATACCAAAGTATACTATGAGTTAGTTACCATTTTCAGATGGGGAAAATGAGGCATAGGATGTTTAAATCCACTAGCTAAATCCACAGTTAGTAAATAGAAGAGGCAGGCCTTGAACCTAGATCTCCAGAGTTGCGTATTTAACCACTCTCAGGTTTTACCAGTAGTCATGGCCAGTAGTCATGAGGCAGAAAAATCCATGAAGCAGATAGGAAGAGAGTAGAAATTAGACGTTAACAGCCGAAGTAGATGAGGCAGGGACAGGAAGTGATTATATCACTAAAACAGTGGAGCTCCACAATCTGGGTATGCTACTGAGATGGTTATCAACGCTATCACTAGAGCTGCAGCACTTCTTACCCTTCCCCATAGTTCCTCAGTGTCACTTAAGATCTCTGTGAAGCCTAGGTCATATTTTGAGTTAGAGGAAAAGACTTTTGGAGAGAAAGAATTATCTTTCTCCCTCAATTCACAGGCAGGATACTAACACGTATGAAACTATTAAATTATGTAAACCAGCTACATGTATTATACACACGTCATTATTTTTGTTTGCTGACTACATAAAAGAACACTTTTACCATGAAGATGAGAAGTGAGACAGGAAGACTGAGTATCATACTCAAATCCATCAGACTTTTAAACCTTAGTAATCCTAGTAGCATGTATCTGATATTTTCTATTATGTTGGAAAGGTACATTGCTTTTAAACAGATCAATAAACATGTTTTTTCACAGTGATGTGATTGGTTTCCTGAACAACCTTAATGAATGTGTACCTTGACAGAAGAATATGGGCACCTGGCCATCTGGTCAATTTTTGACCAAACTTTGTATAACAGGTTTGCCTAACTGAGATTTTTTTTATCTCCATAATTAAAAAAGCAGTAACCTATTTTTAGAATTTGCAAGCAGTCTTGCCCTTCATGATTGACTGGAATTCCTCCAACATGAAGGTCCTTTCAGTCATGTGACTGTAAAGCAAGTGTATGCTTCTTTTTCTTGCAGAAAACACAAGTTAAGCAGAGTAACTCAAATGCAGATATGAAAATGTTCTATTTCATAATATAAATAGATGCTTAGTTAAGGTGAATTATTTTTCCGCAGAATTTATCATTCCTTTGGAGGTAGGTGATCTTACCTGGTTCTCTGTGTGAACTTGAATTGCTCCATATGTGTAAATTACTGCTTGTTTTTTCAGGATTTTTTTCTGTTCTCATTTACACAGCTTTACATGGTTAATTGGGAATCCTGGCCCCTGGAGAAGAGACATGCAGGTCCAGTTTCTCAGTCACTTCTGATTCATGGAGTAGTTTATCCAACAGAGGCTAGGTTGGACTACTGATGTTAATGATTTAGAATTATTTGTGAATGAATAAATCAAATTTCATAAATATGTTGCTCATGGGTTATTGTGTAACTGACACTTAGAAACCTTGAAATAAGTCAGGTACCTGTTTGTAGAGTTTGGATTTTACTTTAAGGAAAAATTCTGCATTGTCATTTATCCTAGAGAGAGAACCATCCTAGGACAGGGCTTTGTAGGGCCTTGATTTGGGAAGGAAGTCAGTTTTCTGTTGTTTCTGGGGTCCTAAGAGTCAGTTCGGTCTAGGAGTTTCTTAAATTCTCTTTTTTTTTTGAAGGATAAATTTGTGTCAAGGGAGGTGATAGTAGATGCAACAGTTCTAGTTAGGGTTTTGAATCTCTAAGTGTAGTAGTATTCAGTAGAACTTATGAATTATTTTCACTTTGTAATCCTTGTTACTTCTGGAACTAGTAGTAGACCCATTTAAAATTGTAGACATATCTCAGCTATGCTTGGGAAAATGAAAGTTATATATAAGACTGAAGAAAAAGGACAAGAAAAGTGTTCCGAAGCTTATTTAGAACAACAGAACCTACATTTTTCCGCTTCCCTACTACCAAGCTAACAAATATTGAGCAATAACTAACTCTACACTTAAATGCTACAAAGAACATTGAAAGTGAAAGACCCTTTCTGAGATATAGCACAAAGGGAATACCTGATTAAGGGAACAATCTGATCCTCACTTCAAATATTTTATGTTGTTAAGGCATTTGAAGGCTTTGGTATATTGAGTTCAACCAGAGTAACAATAAACTTCAAGTCTATCCTCAGCCATGGTGGCATGTGCCTATATTACCAGCACTTGGGAGACTGAGGCAGGAAGATTATAAATTGAAAGTCAGCCTGAGCTACATAGGGAGATCAAGTCCATCCTGCACTACATAGCAAGAGCCTGTCTCAAGAGAGCAAAAACAAACAAAACATTCAGGTTAAGTCCAATTCCTTCCTAAATTAACTCCCCACACTAAAGACCTTCCAGAAGTAAACACATGCCTATTTTAACACAAAATATTTACATCTCCAGTGTTCTATATAAAATATCCCGATTAAAGCAACAACAGCAACAACAACAAAGAAGTTTAAGGAAAGGCAGGAAACAAAAGGTCACATTATGGGACAGGCATGTAGCTCAGTGATAGAGCACTTGCCTCTCATTGAGGCCTACACACACACACACAAAGACACATTTCTATGAAACAGGGAAGTTAACAAAACAAGACAGGTGCAAGGACTTTAAGATATGTTTTCCAACTTCCTACCTTCCATTTTTTTCTGCTCTTATTGTTATAAATTTTATTTTGGTGTATGCTGTTTTAGTATATACACACTGGAATTACCTAGCAGAAAATTAAAATAACCATGATTGATATGATAAAGTATAATAGAAAAGGCAGACACATTTGAAACTACTGAAAACAAAAACAAAGAGAAAAATCCCAAAAGTGGCCAGAGAAAAGGACAAATTAGTTGTACTAAGAGGTACAGCAGGCTATTTATCAGAAACCACTCCATTGCAATGAAATCTTTAAAGTGCTGAAAAAACCTGTGAACTGAATCCTAAGTCCAGCAAAAATATCTTCTAAAAGTGAAATATAAATATTTTCCAAAATGAACAAAACCAGAACTCATTACCAACAGAAGTTGTTACTTTAATATGAAGGAATATGATACAAGAAAGAAACTCAAGTTCTGCACAAAGAAATATAGAGTATTGAAAATAAATATATGAAGGTGAAGTACAATTAATTTTCCATACTTTTTTTTTTTGGAGACAGGGTCTTGCTATGTAATTTAGGCTGGGCTTTAACTCACTATGTAGCCCAGGCTGACCTTGAACTTGCAGCAATCCCCCTGCCTCAGCCTCCCATGTGCCAGGATTACAGACATATGCTACCACCTGGTAATTTTCCATATTCTTGATTCCTCTGAAAAAAATGACTTCATGAAAAAAAGGAATAAGTACTGAACTCTATGTGCTTATAGTACATACTAAAATAAAATATGTAATAATAAAAGCCCCAAAAATGGAAGGTAGGAAGTTGGAGAATCTATTGTAAAGTCCTTGTACCTTGTATGAAGTAGTATACAAGTTGAACATTCATTAATTAAGAAAAATAGTGTAGTGCTCTGTGTCTCTCGCCACGGTGCT